GAACACCGCTAGACAGAGTGTTACTTTACCCAGTAGTCAGGGGAGCCATTGAAGATGTCTGAGAACGTGAGTAATCTCACATCCGGCCTGTCTAACTTTGCTTTCTGTTGCTTATGACAGAATACCTGCAGCTGGATAATTTATAAAGAAAAGGGCTCATGCCTATAATCCTAACACCTTGGGAGACCAAGGCAGGAGGATCGCTTGAGACCAAGAGGGCAACAAAGCGAGACCCTATCTCTACAAAAGTTTTAAAAGTTAGCCAGGCATGGTGGCATGTGTCTGTAATCCCAGCTACTCAGGAGGCTGCAAAGCTGTAGTGAGCTATGGTTATACCACTGCCCTCCAGCCTAGATGACAGTGTGAAACTCCATCTCTTAAAAATAAAAAAGAAAAGAAAGAAAGAAATAGAATTTATATATTAGAGTTATGGAAGCTAAGAAGTCCGGTTCCCAGGGGCCACATCTGGTAAGGGCCGTTTTGCTGGTGGGGACTCTACTGTGTCCCAAGGCAGCTCAGGGCATCACACGCTGAGGGTGCCGAGTATACTCCCTCAGGTCTCTCTTCCTCTTCTTAGAAAAGCCACCAGTCCCACTCCTGTGATAATCCATTAATTCATAAATCCATGAGTGGATTAGCCCATTCATGAAGGCAGAGCCCTCATGACCCAGTCACCTCTTAAAGGCTCCACCTCTCTATGCTGCACACAGGGATTAACTATCAGCCTGAGTTTTGGAGGGGACAGATATGCAAACCATAACACAGACTAAGCAAAGATACGCAGTAAGAGGGTTCCTCTATGGAGCACCAGCAGCTTTACCAATGGGCAATCCCAGAAGGGCTCCCAGATGCAAATTTGTCATCAGAGTTCCAGAAAGAACTTGGAATTGGAGGTAGAGATTGGAGAACCTTCTGAGGTGACATTGGTACGCTAAGAATAGCAAAGATCTTCTCTAGAGAACATAGGGAAGGCATGGTGGTTTGGCATGAAAGCTTAAGGGCAGCCAGAGTAGGAGGAGGCAGTGGAGAAGGTACCGTCAGGGAGTTGGAAGGTCATCCAAGAGAGCCGCCTCGTGGGGACTCCCAGGAGATAGCAGCATTTCCAGGCCAGGCAGTGGTACATATGATTCTGCCGAGGTCAAGGCCTGGGAAAAGAGTATTTAAATTGGCCATGAGGATCTCACTGCTGACCTTCAAGAGCGCTACTTCAGCGTAGGGTGGGCGCAGGAACTTAATTACAGGCAGCTAAGAAAAGAGTAGAGCCAGAGTAGAGTACGTGGTTGTGGAAGGAAGAAAAAACCAGAACAGTAACTTGAAAGAGCGAGGGGACGGCGGACAGCAACATCCAGTGAAGACTGATTAGTGTTGAGATAGGCACACATCTCCTGCAGCTAGGGGAAAGCAGCATTGAGGAATGAAAGACTAAAGATGCGGATCTGAATAATGGTGGGAACAAAGCAGGCTTCAGGAAGGAGGGGAGGGCACGGAGAGGGCTTATCTTAGAAAGGAGAGGGAATGCATGCAAGGTCATGGAGTTGGAGACAGGTGAGGATGTGAGTACGTCATGTCTGTTGGCTCTTATTTTTGCAGCAGCGTCTGTGGTTGGGTTATCTGATAAGAAAGTAAACATGGAGACTTGGGAGCCTGCAAAAGAGTAGAGGGAACTTGGAGTGCCATCTGTGGGTTTGGCACCTGAGAGATCCTCAACCCTTGTTCATTCTTTAAGACAAAAGCAGGATTGGGGCACCATTAGCCAGAAGCAATCCACGTCTGCATGGGTGTAAGCCCTGACTCCAGTTAGGAGTTTATTACTAGAGTTTCTCCCAAAGAGCTTATCACATCTCTGCATGTGTCTCCATTTTCTCTCAGCTGAGTTGAATTTTTTTTCAAAGAAAATGATAGCATGATGCTCAAGAGCCAACTGACTATAGAGTTATTTCTCAAGTCTCAACTTGTCTGGTTACAGACCTGAACCCATCCTTTTCTTCTTGTAATTAGATTTTTCTTATGAGTTATGTGTAATAATTTTAAGCATCTTAATTATCAGTGCAATAATTGGGAGGTTTTGTGTTTTATGGTTCAAGCCAGTGCCAGTTTCATTGCTTTTAGCGAGTAGTAAGTTCTTTTAGAAGAGAACATGTGCACTGTGTAGCCTGTTAACCGTTGAATAACCAGGAAGCTAAATAAAAGGCTAAATTCAATAGTAGACCTCAGTATAGGCAAAATCTGTATTTAGAACTGGCTGTACGCAATATCCTCACCACGGGTCCTTTTCTCTTTTCTGTCATTAAAAAGTTTGAGTTGAATAGGATATGGTATTAGTCAGAAGTTTTTTGGTTGCAAGTGATAGAAAAACCCTATTTGAAATAGTTTAGGTTTAAATTGTTAAAATGAAAAAGAATGTATTGATCCATGTCATGGGAACACTCAGTTGTGAATTGGCTTCAAGCAAAGCTGGATCCAGGGTCTTAGACAGTATTGTCAGGATTCTCCCTCTACCTCTTCAGGCTGTTTCCCTCTATGGGTTGACTTCATTATCACTGGAAGCCTGAATTTGCATCTTTAGAGCTTGGAATCCCAAATAAAGAGAGGCCGTCTTCCATTAAGTTTCTATATACCAAATTCAGGGAGGTGTCCAGCATGTGTCCATCCCTGAGCCAATCACCATCGCCTGGGGGATCCCTGGGGGATGGAGGACTCTGGCCAGCCTCAGACACTCATTCACTGGGGTGGCGGGTAACGAGGCATTTCCAGCAGCATCTCACCAGGATCACATGGAGAAAGTGTTTCCCCAAAGGGAAAACTGAAGAAGCAAAGGGAAGGGATGCTGAGTTAGCAAAAACCACCAAAGTCCCTTATAAACACCATAGCACAAAACCTAAACAGTTAAAACAAAGATAGAGCTATCGCAGTCTGCAGTTATTTTTAGAAGGTTTACAGTTTATTATTTGTTGTTGCTAATGTTAATGATGATCTTCCCTGGACAGATATCTATACTAAAGCAGTGAAGCCTCCGCCAGGGTTTGACTTAGGGGAGGGCTGTATAAAGCAACTGCAGAAGGAACATCCACCATTTTCAAGGTGCATTTGAAATTATCTGCTCCTCCAGGGGCTACACATTGACTTGACTTGGTTCTAATAAAATAGGTTTGGCCCAGTAATTACCTGGTTTTGGTCCGGGCAAAAAGTAAACCATGAGAAATGGTTTGGGCATTCCAATTCCAATTGAAACTAGGAAGTGTGGAGTTTTTTAAAGTTAATATACATTAAAAGGGTGATGCTGGGGAGGGGAGCATGCATAGATACAGGTGTTGATGGAAACATCTGGAGCTGCAAAGGTTGCTTTTCTTTCCTTCAGCCCCTCTCTTCATTCACAGAGGTGTATTGCCTGCCTGACCTCACAGTCCTGCCTCACCCACGATGTGCAGGTTCATGTGGTTTCTGGACCACCCTGTTAACATCACACTGATTCAGAAGCCTGTCGAAAATGCCATCTTTCCCATCTTCTCACCCACAACCCCTACAGGTTATTTCTCAGTGAGGATTTCTGTGATAACACAAACAATAAGAATGCTTAAATTAGATAGTTGTCCGACTAAAATGATGTTTTGCCACTATTTTTAAACCACAGTAACATGAGAGTGACTAGACTCTTCCCCTCCCTGATCCTGTCTGCTCAGCACATCAGAAATCCCCTTCATCTTTAGATCTTTATGTAAAGTGTGATTGAAAATAGGTCCAGTAAAGCCAACACAGAGAACTTTACTCTTTTTTAAGCCTTTGCTTATTAATTATCTTATATATTTGAAGAAAACCTGGTCATCTAATTTGATATAACCATATCAGAATTGCAGCATGGCTCAGAAAAAATATATAAATCATGATTTTTTTCTTCTCTTTATGAATTACCAACAAAAATGTTTGTAGTTTCCAAGTGGCAATTATATACTACAACAAAGCTGCAGTTCATAAAACTATCAGTTCTTGGTTCTCAAAATATGTAATAAACCCAATGAAAGGACTTGGTGTAAGATTACTGATAGTAATGCTACTTGTATTCAATATTCACTATTTTGCCAATGTTCCTAATGTAAGGACGGCTGCCTTCTTTAAAGCCTTCCTTCTGGAAAGGCAGTTAGTTTAAGGTGTGTTTCTTTTGGTCTTCCTGATAACATTGAGGTGGCCATTATTAATGTGATAACCTTATGGATGAGCAAACAGAGGCTCAAGGCGAGGGTCTCAGGATTTTACTGAAATCACATAGCGGTGAAGGGGTGGACCTGAGGCTTCCCCTCTGATCCAGTGCTCACTTCAACCCTCCAGAACTGTGTCTCTGGCCTTTGAAGCTCCCTGACCTGCAGCCTCTTCCCCCTTTATTTTATCGCTGCAAAGGACACTCAGGCAAACAAGACCCACTTTTCCTTTGCTTCATGCAATGGAGTTTCAGCAAAGCGGGAAGGAAGCAAGGATGCCTCTCTTGGGCACTGTTGAGCTTCTGAACATCCTCCCTTCCCTGTCTTGCCCTGGGCCAGGGCATGGTGAAGGTTCTCTCCCCATCCTGGGTGGCAGGACAGGCTGCCACATGGCATGCTGCTGTTCCAGCCCAGGCAATGTGGATTGAGGGCTTGCGTGGGAAGATTCGGGAAGCTATGCAAACAAGGAACTAAGATCTCCAACATGTTTTCAGTCTTGGCTTTGTTTCATATTTGAGAAATGTTTTGGTAAATTCACTTTTATATTAAGGAAAACCAAAACCCTAGAGTCTGATGCCCAGCAACTGAACTTGCTTTGGAGGACAGGGGATGAGGGAGCATGGGATTAGAAATTTAATTCTATAAACTCTTAAGAGAGGCTATTATAATGGCATGAACTTACATTTTGATTATCTTTTTCTTAAATCTCGCCATCACCCAGTCGCCCCCTTCCCAGCCCCCACAGCATTGATCCCTGAGGGCTTGAGCCCCCTGTGGTGATGTTTTGTGTTCTGTTACTTCAATCAGCTTGCCTGGGACCAGCGGCAGGGACCTCGGAACCTGAAGGTGCTGACAAAGATGACCTGCTGCTGTTGAGTGAGATCTTCAGTGCTTCCTCCCTGGAAGAGGGCGAGTTCAGCAAAGAGTGGGCCGCTGTGTTTGGGGATGGCCAAGTGAAGGAGCCAGCGCCTGCTATGGCCCTGGGAGAGCCAGACCCAAAGCCCCAGACAGGCTCAGGTTTCCTTCCTTCGCAGCTTTTAGACCAAAATATGAAAGACTTACAGGCCTCGCTACAAGGTAGGTACAGCAGGGATCAAAATGGGGTTTTTTTGTTTGTTTATTCTTTTTCTTTTTAATCCAGAAGCCTATTTCTTCCTTGTCTTGTTTGATGTTTTCTCTCTTTTTATTGAGTTTCTAGCTGGAGACTCGGAATCACATTCCAACTCTAAGATACGTTGCAGGGTTAAAAATACATTCTCCCCCCATGTTAACATCAAAGATTAGAGGAGTGGTTCTAAATCATATTGTCATACTTTGATTTTAGACTTCTTGTGGCATCCTTGAGAGGATCAAACAGCTTTCATGGTCACGGCCCATTGGCTCAGCCACTCCATCCTGAGTGCTCCACGTTCCCATGAGCCTGCCCTCTTCCTGGGTGCTGACTGACATGGCCCAGGGCCTCATCACTCTTTTTGCACACTTTGTTTGTCTTGCGCTCCTGTTCCCTTTCTGTCCTGATCCACCTCTCCTCTGAGGACCCCTCACCAGCTCAGCTCTTCCAGTCCTGCCTTAAACACAGGGCCAAACAGTACTTCCTCAACCACAGCAAAAAAAGAGTTTCCACACTGATCAGAAGTGGTTGTCAGGCCAAGCACAGTGGCTCATGCCTATAATCTCAGCAGTTTGGGAAGTCAGGGTAAGTGGATCACTTGCAGTCAGGAGTTCGAGACCAGCCTGGCCAACATGGTGGAGCCCCATCTCTACTAAAAGTACAAAAAAAAAAAAAACCAGGCATGATGGCACATGCCTGTAATCCCAAATCCCAGTTACTTGGGAGGCTGAGGCAGGAGAATCATTTGAACCCAGGAGGCAAAGGTTACAGAGAGCTGAGATCACACTACTGCACTCCAGCTTGGGCAGCAGAGTCAGACTCCTTCTGAAAAAAACAAACATCGGGGGTCGGTATCAACATCAGTAAGGGTTCAAGGTACACCAACCACGTGCTGGCTGAGAATTGCTAGCATTGAAACACATTGGATTACAGTGCAAAGCCTGAAACTCATGTTGAAATTTAAATTTTTAAGTTCGAGTTTCTAAACACACAGGCTTCTGAAAGGAAACCATATTTTAGTATTTCAACACTTTTTCCTTCTTTCATGTGACTTTAATTGTAAAACAGGAATCACTTAAGAAATTCTCAAACTATTTTGGTTTTTCTATGAATTTAGGCTCTCTCCCTAATAAACAACATGTTTATCTGGCACTTAAAGCTGAGAACAAAATGGTAAAGTTGGAACTATTAAGTAATTATGGGCTATTAAAACTTCAGGTCTTTAGAGATGAGATCATGGACACAAGAGTTGGTGAGCAAGACAAAAAAAAAAAGGTCTTCTTTTTTTTTTAAATGAAATACATGACTCCTTTTATCTTCCTTTGGGAGTCTTGTTTCATAGCCATTTCATTTATTTGCAGTAATGGAGGTAGAGATAGCAGGGATAAATGTAATCCAAAAATGTTTCTCCACCCTGAGTTTCACCCCAGGTTTCACCCCCTCAGTCACGGGAGCTGCAAATGAGTAAGGCTGCCAATTGACTAGAGTTTCATCCCCACCCACCTGTGGTGGAGGTGCTAACAAGTGCCGAGAGAGTTGAGGCAAAGCCCCGATCCTCAACTGATACCTTAGGGCTGCTGAAAACTCCCCAGCTGTGTTGCAGAACGAACCCCACTCAGATCCTCAGCTTTGGAAACACAAGAGCCCCTACTGCCCACAGGGAGTGGTTGGGACTGTTTTCCTGCTTAGCCAGGGTAGTGAAGTGTCAGTCATTGTAAAAGCCCATGCACACATGTCCACAGACAGCCAAGAAGTCAGCTCCACGTCCACTTCCTGAGCAGGCAAAGTGAGAGAAGCTCATCTCAGTGCCCGTGGTGGGGCTGCCAAACTATGCCAGAGAGCTGTGATAAGGGCAGTGGTCATGGGGAATTGCACTTCAGCCTTGCCCCGCATACATGGGAAAGGCACCAGACCACACTGAGGTCTAAGGAGGGAGGTGTTCTGAGAGGGAGAGAGAAACACAAGCTCATGCTACGGAAAGAGGAACAGGGACTGCAAATGGAGGCCATTTGTTACTCAGGCCAACAAAATTTCATTTGAGGTTGCCATCCTACCAGTACTTTAGCAAGTCTCTCATTCATTCAACAGATATTTACAGGGTCCCTCTGTGTGCCAGGCACTGGGAATTCATCTGAGGACAAAACAGACCAGGCTGTCTGCTGTCCTGGAACTCACATTGTAACAGGATGCAGACAGGCAGTGAATAATAAGCATAGTAATGAGCAAATCACACAGTAGGCTAGAAAGTGATCAACGTTAGGGAGAAAAGGAAAAAGTAGAGGCTGCGGATGATGGAGTGTTGGGGCTGTCAGGGTAATAGGTCAGGCTGCAGAGCTGAATAGGTTCTTACTGGGAAGATGAGATCTGAACAGAGACTTGCAGGAGGTGAGAATGAACCATGTGGCGCTCTGGGCAGAGGGGACAACCTGTGCCAGTGCCCTAAGGTGAGGACGTGCCTGGCACAGTGGAAGGTCTTTAGGAAGGACACTTGGCTGGAGCTGACTAACCAAGGGGAGGGATGCTCAGAGGATGCAGAGGCAGAAGCCAGGCCACACAGGGACTCATAGCTGTTGGAAGAACTTAGACCTTTTTTCAGCCCAGGTTAAGTTGAGAGTCATCACAGCATCTTGAGCCAAAGAGTAACATGATCTGATTTCCTATATTAAAAGGGTCCTTCTGTCTGCTAAAATTTTTCTTTTCTCTGCTGGGATTCTATCAAGATCTATGTTAAAGGAGTTACCACCAGGCATGGTGGCTCACGCCTGTAATGCCAGCACTTTAGGAGGCCATCGTGGACAGATGGCATGAGGTCAGGAGTTTGAGACCAGCCTGGCCAACATGGTGAAACCCTGTCTCTACTAAAAACATAAAAATTAGCTGGGCGTGGTGGTGCACACTTGCAGTTCCAGCTACCCAGGAGGCTGAGGCAGGAAAATCATTTGAACCCAGGAGGCAGAGGTTGCAGTAAGCTGAGGTCATGTCGCTGCACTCCAGTCTGGGTGACAGAGTGAGTGAGACTCTGCCTCCAAAAAAAAAAAAGTTAAAAGAGTTAACTTGTAACTACTGAGTTATCCTATTTCCTTCCCATGCAAACAGCTGACAATTGAATACCTATGGAATTGAAATGATAGGAGGAAAAAAAGTCAAACCTAAGTGGTTGAAACAAGCAGCCCATTCAGCTTCTGCCACACTTACAGATTCCCAGCAGGTGCTCCCAGTTCAAGGATCCTTTAACATGTGTTTGTTACAAATGAAGGATGGGCACTTCCATGACTGATCATGTTGTCAAATTCTAACTGCCTTCTGTGCTTCTGTCAGGACCCTCAATCCCCTCAAAAAAGAGGAAAGGGTGAATGGCAGCTTGAGATTTTTTTTTTTTTCACTGCATCCATGGCCTAGAAAATCTACCTATACACATGAGTAGTTATGTATGGAATAGTTTAATAATAACTATTAGTAAATATTGGCCACCCTATATTGAAACTGCTTCCCCTGATCAACCAGATCATCTCAAAGATCAGTTTTCAATAAACCACTGAAATAACTAAGTAGTCAAACTAAACAGAGTAGAAAATCTCATTGGGCTGGCCGGGTACTGTGGCTGACACATGTAATCCTAGCACTTTGGAAGGCTGAGGCAAGAGGATTGTTTGAGGCCAGAAGTTTGAGACCAGCCTGGGCAATAGAGTGAGTCGCCATCTCTACAAAAACAAATTTCTTTTTAAGTAGCTGAGCATGCTGGCGCATGCCTGGAGTCATAGCCATTTGCGGGGCTGAGGGGAGAGGATTGCCTGAGCCTGGAAGGTGAAGGTTGCAGTGAGCTGTGATCATGCCACTGCACTCTGACCTGGGCAACACAGTGAGACCCTGCATCAAAAAAATAACAAGGCTATTTGGTGTACTGGCTCAGTGAAACACTGGGGAGGAGCTCAGAGCCTGTGTTTTATCTTGCAATCTCCCCGCCCTTCGTGACTCCAAAGCTGGTGGTCAGGCCCCTTCAGTTCTCTGGGCCTTTACCTCTTGTCTGTAAAATGAGGTCATGGACTTAGCTTCTTATCCCTTTGTTATCTTCTTATCCCTCAGTTAGTTCCCACTGCAGAGATGCTGAGGTCTAAAATTGTAGATTCAGTGAATCTACGATTTGTAGATGGTAAAATATCAGTCAGCACTTGGTGTGGCACGTGCTGTGTGGCAAGCACTGTCCTGTGTGCTTTTCACATGGATGAACTGTAATCTTCACCGTACCCTTCCCAGCCAGCTAGTGTTATCCATTTTATTGCCTGGGAAACTGAGGAACAGAGTGGTTAGGTGGTGTGTCCAAGATCACACTTCCATTAGCAGGCAGGCTGGATTTTGAGCACCCGCAGCCTTACTCCAAAATCCCTGCCTTTCACCATTCCCTTCTCTGGCCTGTCAGTACAGTCTCTGATAGCAAAAGCAATTTCCCAGTGGGGCCCTTCAGGCCTCTCTTGGGAAGCTGCCAGAGGGGCAGGACTTATAATGACTCCCTGGCTTGGGCATCCTTGTCGCACACAGGGATAGAGACACTTGGGGAGCCATAGAGGAGGAATGGGTGTGGGAGACAGAGGCTAAGTCCACACAAAATTAATTGATGTTCTAGAATAGAATATTCAAAATTGAGATTGTCCTAGGAAATCATGTTCCTGCGTGCCAGCAGCCACATGTACTCTGGTGCACACCTGCTGAGTCTCAGGTTGTCCTGGCTGTCTGTGAGGGACTGGGACACCAAGTCCTCAGGCACCAGGACTGAAGTGCAAGCTCTGGGCCACCTCCCCAGCTCCCTCAGCCCCACTTACAGCCCGCATTTCCCCTTTCCTCTTCCTCCTTCATCTCTTCAGTTTCCTCCTCTGTTGTCTCCCCGGATTGTCCCCTGCCTCTCTTCATCTCTTCTTTGACCTCTCTCCTTCTTCTGTTCCCAGTCCCTTGGGGAAATGGAGAGGAAGGG